TTATATTGAAAACGCTTAATCAGTTTGGCACTTAAGATCCACAAATAGATCAATAAAAAACAAACGCATGGTATATTAGCTGTTAAACATCACCTCAGACCCTTAGCGTGAATTGAAAACAAAATTTCCTCTCTAACTTTAATAAAAATGAGGGTTCTTTGTCATCCTTTCAGTTTAATAGCGCAACTAATAAAATTCGTTTCCTTTATTTAAGATTGCTAAATGGTAAGTTTGGTAACCAGCAAACAAGTAAACTTGATATCGTTTACAAGGCAGTACTGTTGTTTTTATCCGCCGCAGTCGAATTATCAGAAAGCAGTTTCGTATTAACTGCATTTCGGTCTGACTCGATGTTTAGGGACGATTTAAGCCGCGTCAGGTTTGTATTCACTGAGGTAAATAGAGGTGCGTTATAGTATGTAGTATTGAATAAAGAGCTTTATCAAGATTAAATTGTAAAGCAATGAATAATAATATGTTTAAGTGGTCTTTATTAAGGAGCACTAAGTAGATTTAAAATGATTAACCAGGAAAACAAACCTGATGAAGCGAGATTTTTCTTCTTTTTGATCAAGAACGATCTGATACTTGCCATTCTGATAGGGTATAGCCATGGGTTGAATATTGGTCCCAGAAATGTCAGTGTACGAGAAATGACTTTATAGTGCTAAGGGGAGGACAGTGATAAATTATTTATTTGATACAAATTATATGCACATAAATCAATGGTTGTTAATGTATGAATTTTGTAAATTTGGATAATGAAATTTTACCAAAACCCATAATCATGGGTAGAGTGGACCGCTGCCAGTGTCTCTCTTTCCCAAACAAAAGGAAATGATATTAATTTGATTGACCGTTCTCAAATGCAAAATGATACCGAGAATGAAATCGGTCGCTCGCTTTTCCCATTCATTCACGGCTTACGAATTGTATAAATAAGTTTCGATTGATTACATCAATCAGATGCTGTAAAAATCTCTTTGGGTTGCGTTCGGGTCGATACCTAGTATTTCGGGGTAAGGGACAAGGGTGGTAGTTATTACTTATTGAACAAGCTGGAGTTTATTGAATCTTCATTGCCGAGTACAGCTGCCTTTGGGTAGTTCTTCTTAATCTATTACAATTGTAAATGAATGGGAAAAGCGAGCGACCGATTTCATTCTCGGTATCATTTTGCATTTGAGAACGGTCAATCAAATTAATATCATTTCCTTTTGTTTGGGAAAGAGAGACACTGGCAGCGGTCCACTCTACCCATGATTATGGGTTTTGGTAAAATATCATCTCTTTTTGATTATAATGTCAGGGTACTTTATAAAGTCGAAATATAAACTGATATCTTCATTAATAAGGAGGCAGTTTCAACGATTTCGAAATTTTTCCTTTAAAAACATATCCTTGTGTTTAGGGAAGCATATCGGTCGATCACTGACTGAATATTCCACTTAATACTTATTCAAGTTGGCATTAAATTCATATATAATGACATTAAACTGTCGTGGCAAAGCAGAATTTGTTGGAAATCACGAATGAGCAAAATTCTCACCTTTCGCACGTGCAAACTTTGAGCGGACGTTGCGTGCGCATCCAATATTGAATCGCCGTAAATTTGTGCATGTAATTGTTTTATATATAGCTTGATAAGCATGCAAAGTTTCAAAGTATTTCAAGAAGAACTGTAATCACAACGGCACTCTAAAGTTGACAGAAAATGACGAAAACAGCAATTTTCAGTGATTTTAGCAATTTTCTATCAATTTGGGCGTGTCCCCACGTGTGCAACTTTTCGATTTTAAACTTTAAAACTAGCCTAATGCACAATTTATACCTATAAGAAGCAGAAATGAGCTCCACAACCCAAGGCATGGCCCAACACCAGAGAATACTAAATCGCAAAATTGACGTTTTTATAAAATAATTCTTCAAAAAAGCACAAACTTCAATAACGAATATCTTTATGAAGGAGCAAGCTAGAAAAACTTTCCGGTAGATTTTCAGAATGCTTGAACAATTATCTAAGATAAAATTTTCCTCAGATTTTGAATAAAATTACATCTTAATGGTTTAAAATTAATTTTAAAAGTTATTACTTTGTCAAAAATCAAGTTTTAAAAACGGTTAACTTGATGACGTCATCAAGGGGTGTTTATGACGTCAAATAATTTTTTTATACAATGTAAACTAAAGTGTAAACAATTATTTGCAAGACCTGTGGTCGGAAATGGCTGTATCTTTTATAGGTACAAATCTACAGACACCTGAATGTAGCCTATAATTGACTGGCAAAGCGTCTATCCCTGAATATATGTATGTATGTATGTATCACGACAATCTGTCGTAAAACAGGGGTTCTAGAAAACCCATTCCCCGATGCTCCTGAAACTTGAAACTTTTTTTGCAATCGATTTGGTCAACGTCTAGACGTCCTAAAAAATTTCAGATCTCTAACTCAATTTTAACATGGTTTTTAAGGCACCTGAATATGGCGATTTTGGGTTTTTTACCGAATTTCGTATAACAGTGCTGGCGAGTATTTTATGCAAATTTCTTAAAAATCTCAACGTAACTATTTTTTATTCCTGTCATCTTTGACATCAAATTAGAATGTTTTGAACTAAAAATAAATCTGTCGAACGACTTCCGATGAGTCTTAATGCCTGAAAAACTCCTGCCGGAGGAGGCGGCCTTCGGCCGCCGCCTCCGGCCGGAGTGCACGCTTCGCGTGCACGAAAGAGGCTTGTAACGTGTACCAAAGGGGGTATAATAGTAAAGGGGGTATAATAGTAAAGGGGGTACATAGTATACCCACAATAAATGCACCGGTCGTGCTTGCCAGCACTGTGATTGATCATGAAATTGTCGTTTTATCATGGTATCACCTGCCTCAGAATCAAAAGTAAATTAATCGAATTTTTAAAAACTTGACAATCTCAAGGCAAACTGCATTAATCTTCTCCCAATTCCTCGGTATACTTTTTTTAAAATAAGATAAAGAACTTACGCTAGTGTAAATTTTGGTTCCTCGGACTCTGTCATCAATCGAGTACCAGTGGTAGGGCATTTGTGAAACTAATATCAAAACAGCTTGAAAGAAAGACACTGTACAGGTGAGTCTGATACTCCTAGCTACCCTGAGATATTTTGAAAGTTACAGAGAGCTCGAACAAAGTCTGCTTTATGAGAAGTTGAGTATTTTATAGTTTATATGAGAAGTTCAGTAATTTATATGAGAAGTTGAGTATTCTATATGAGAAGTTGAATAATTTATATGAGAAGTCGAGTATTCTATATGAGTAGTTTACTTACTCATCCTGTCTCTTTGTATTGTCTTTTTGCATTCTAGCGCTTTTGTTAAGCTTGACGATGATGATGACGCAAGTGACTGACAGAGCAGTGATTGCCAGAATAGTGAGAAGGGGGTATGCCACGTTCATCCACATCTGATACGCGGCATGTCCTTCCGGCCACGTGTCTTCGTTCACATGTAGAACACAACCTGATAATCACATTTCTTATAGGATAATTCACATGTAGAACACAACCTGATAATCACATTTCTTATAAGAATTCCATCACTCAGAATAGCATTCGTTAAAATAATGAGCACAGAAAGGAAACTAAATAATTATCATGTTAGTTAAGTTTTCACCCACCCATGAATAAGTCCCGATCTGAGATTAACTGCATTCCGTTATCATCAAACTCGTTAGCCACATCACACATAAAGGCAGCTGCACCAGTTCCATTTCTACTCGTATAATAGCTCATTGCAGAGACAGCACCGATTGTGTAGGGCAGGATCATGGTAAAGAATGGAATGGCAGTGCAAGTTGCTAGAATAATCACCATCTTAAAGACAGTGATGTTGTAGGTGTAGCGGAGAGGTCTACAAATGTGTCCAGCTCGGTCCATACAGATAGCCACAACCAACATTAGTTGGAGCCACGTTGAGTATTCCAGTATAGGATTTGCAGCAGCCCTGTAGTAAAATTGTAATGAAACTTATTTATTAAAACTTATTTCGAATGGGCTGTCGAAAAATTCTTGTATATTATAATTTTATGCTATGGTCATAATGGCATTTCATTTAAGAATCACGAAATGAGACAGAAGACAAACGGCAATTGGAAAAGGAATAAGATTAGGAGACACTTACTTATTGTACATGCCGTTTCCGTAAGATGCATCATTAGTAGTAAAAGAAAGCGCAGCCGGTATTGCTACGAAGACTATTTGGAGCACATCCACAAAGGAGAGATACACACAAAACACATTAGACTGGAAAAACGGATGCTGCAGGAGTGGCTGAGGAAGTGGATGGTGAGGAATAGCAGAAGATTTCTTTGGTTCATAACTTTTTAAATAGTAAAAATTTACCTTTAAGATTTACGTAAAATCCGGATTGGAGTATTATTTATTTTTTACTTGTCGCAACAACCGGGATAAAGATAATTTTACACAGAATACATTTAAGATTTACCATAGAAAAATACTTACCATAGAAAAAGATTTGAAATGAAATGATCGATAAAATATACCTTCAGATTCTTGATGACGGCGTAAAAGCAAGCCACGTTGCCAACAATGGTAATAACGATGATGACCCAGAGAATAGCTCCGAGGATCTTCAACTCATCAACAGTCCAACTGCTCGAGAAGGAAAGTTTTGTTGAGAAGATTGGTTCTGTCGTTGAATTGAATACGGAGGTGGTTAAATGAGAGAGGTGGGTAAGAGCATCACTGGTTTGGTTGATGGGAACTCTACCGGAGTGCTGTGTGACTACGGGACTGAACGCTGTAACTGATACCGCCGACATTTCAGATCAGATTCGGAGATGAGCTCTCTAAACCATAGCTTGAGCTTTGATAATAAAGTTAGCAACAAACATAATATAGAAAGCACAGCAACTTAATTCTAATGTATAAATATAATAATAAAGTAATCTGTAAAAAGTTAACTTTTGATAACCGAGAAAAATTAAACAGTTAAAAACAAATTTTGTGGGACATTTTTCGTCAATTTACAATGATATTTACAATATTATACAAGATCACAGCATTTCAGGAAACATTAACTGCGATACGTGACGAGTGTTAACGCCAAAAGAAACATTAAAATAAAATCATCGAAAATTTCAAGAAAATAACATCAGGCCAATAAATATGACAAGTAATGAGCTCTTAAGTCACTGTAAAAGTTAATCAAATGATCTTCTGCACATCACACCGCAACGTAAGAGCACATTACATGGTGTCAAACTCCAAACAGAGTGTAGGAGAAAAAAGCTTTATAGAACGTAAAGCATATCATACAAGGTAACACTTAACGTAGTTATATCCGGTATGTAGTTCTGTAACCTTGTTTACTTTCATCATTGCAGACAAATACGATTGCTCAGTGCTGCTGAGTTTCAGTAAAATACCCTAACACAGTAGACCCTCTCCAATGTTTGGAACTAACTCAATTTCATAAAACTGTCGATGCACCAAATTAGCAGTCTACACGACGAATAAACAACATTGGAAATGAATTACTGAAATTTATAACTGATCAGTATCGCCTTAGAAATATCGCTCAACATGGATAAAGAACGGCATGCTAGTCAAGTGGTATGAACTGAAAGTTTTTGGGGTGAATCTAACGGAAAGTGTGCGAATTATTCAAGTTAGCAAAAGGGGTCTACCGTTAAGTTCAAGTAAAATAATTGAATCATTTCCTTAGTCGTACTAACACATAATTAAAATTTTCATCAGTTATTAAAAGAATTAAAATAGGAAATAGTAAAAACCTTGCTCCACCAAACCCGGCCGGAGCACCACAGTGTCTCTATCACAAAACCTTTCTCTCTCACCTCATTTCCCTCAGGCTTCAGTAAGCGCGGTGAGAGCCAGAGGGTCGGTGATGGCAGTGGAGTTGTTGGCAAAGAGTTGGGTGTGCTGTGCTGTACTCTCTCCGGAGGGAGTCAGGGAGGACTTGAGTCTTAGCAGGGAGGTGTTCACTGCAATAGTACAACTTAGGTCAACTGTAACTTACAACTCTCACAAGTTATAAGTTTATAACACACCACACAAGTCACAAGATAGGAAATAGGATTCATACAAGATAAACAACAAGATAAACAACAAGATAAACAACATGATAAACAACAAGATAAACAACAAGATAAACAACAAGATAAACAACAAGATAAACAACAAGATAAACAACAAGATAAACAACAAGATAAACAACAAGATAAACAACAAGATAAACAACAAGATAAACAACAAGATAAACAACAAGATAAACAACAAGATAAACAACAAGATAAACAACAAGATAAACAACAAGATAAACAACAAGATAAACAACAAGATAAACAACAAGATAAACAACAAGATAAACAACAAGATAAACAACAAGATAAACAACAAGATAAACAACAAGATAAACAACAAGATAAACAACAAGATAAACAACAAGATAAACAACAAGATAAACAACAAGATAAACAACAAGATAAACAACAAGATAAACAACAAGATAAACAACAAGATAAACAACAAGATAAACAACAAGATAAACAACAAGATAAACAACAAGATAAACAACAAGATAAACAACAAGATAAACAACAAGATAAACAACAAGATAAACAACAAGATAAACAACAAGATAAACAACAAGATAAACAACAAGATAAACAACAAGGTAAACAACAAGATAAACAACAAGATAAACAACAAGGTAACAACCAAATTCTATTGGCTACACAGATTTTGGCTACACAGATTTTGATTTTTAGACCGCCTATTCATTTTCAATCCCCGACATAAATCTCCCAAAATGTGGCTGACACGCAAAATGACACAGAATGATGTTTTAAAAGTGACAGATTTCTGTGGGCAGCCATGCATCTTCTTACCGAGACACAACAGGACCGCTGCATTGTAGCTGAGATAATTGTTGCTGAGATAATTTTATTTCAATATTTCAATATGACTCAAACTAGAGAACAAGGTCCATTAAGATGGAAGAGCTCGAATAGCATCCTAATTGTAGATGCGTCGTAAAACTGAAAGTTAAAGGCTTCTTCAATAGTTCAGCACTCAAGTAACCATGGAGGTGCCTAGAGAAATATCTGATGACCTGGTCGATAACACAGACTTAATGAGTGTGGTACTGTGGCACTGTGGCACTGTGGCACTGTGGCACTGTGTTACTGTGGCTGATGTACGATGCACAAGGGTTCAGTGAGACAGCTGAAGTCACACGGAGCTATTAGCTAGATTTAATCAAGATCAACGTAAAATTAGGGAAAAGAACAATCGCAGAAAAAGTTTCAACCGAGTGTAGAAACTAGAAGCCTCATGGGGCTCTAGCAGCTAAGTGTACCACATAACACTAGATATCAGCTCAAGTGGGTTCAACTAATCTACAATGCTAAATCACGAACACTCGTGGCGAAGCTTCAACACCTAAAAATAGTGTCATTGTGCTAATGGCCAGTAGAGGCAGGAGTCCCGGCTCTACTGGCTCTACACTTTACCTCAAGAGCTCAATACGGTACTAAGGAATAGTAAATTCAACGAATAGAAAATATTTCATGAACGTCGTGTGAAATTAAGACATGTTATGAAAATTTGATGGTTACAATTACATTTGTGGTGCTTCTGCAAACAGGCTTCAGTAAGCGCGGTGAGAGCCAGAGGGTCGGTGATGGCAGTGGAGTTGTTGGCAAAGAGTTGGGTGTGCTGTGCTGTACTCTCTCCGGAGGGAGTCAGGGAGGACTTGAGTCTTAGCAGGGAGGTGTTCACTGCAATAGTACAACTTAGGTCAACTGTAACTTACAACTCTCACAAGTTATAAGTTTATAACACACCACACAAGTCACAAGATAGGAAATAGGATTCATACAAGATAAACAACAAGATAAACAACAAGATAAACAACAAGATAAACAACAAGATAAACAACAAGATAAACAACAAGATAAACAACAAGATAAACAACAAGATAAACAACAAGATAAACAACAAGATAAACAACAAGATAAACAACAAGATAAACAACAAGATAAACAACAAGATAAACAACAAGATAAACAACAAGATAAACAACAAGATAAACAACAAGATAAACAACAAGATAAACAACAAGATAAACAACAAGATAAACAACAAGATAAACAACAAGATAAACAACAAGATAAACAACAAGATAAACAACAAGATAAACAACAAGATAAACAACAAGATAAACAACAAGATAAACAACAAGATAAACAACAAGATAAACAACAAGATAAACAACAAGATAAACAACAAGATAAACAACAAGATAAACAACAAGATAAACAACAAGATAAACAACAAGATAAACAACAAGATAAACAACAAGATAAACAACAAGATAAACAACAAGATAAACAACAAGATAAACAACAAGATAAACAACAAGATAAACAACAAGATAAACAACAAGATAAACAACAAGATAAACAACAAGATAAACAACAAGATAAACAACAAGATAAACAACAAGATAAACAACAAGATAAACAACAAGGTAAACAACAAGATAAACAACAAGATAAACAACAAGATAAACAACCAAATTCTATTGGCTACACAGATTTTGGCTACACAGATTTTGATTTTTAGACCGCCTATTCATTTTCAATCCCCGACATAAATCTCCCAAAATGTGGCTGACACGCAAAATGACACAAAATGATGTTTTAAAAGTGACAGATTTCTGTGGGCAGCCATGCATCTTCTTACCGAGACACAACAGGACCGCTGCATTGTAGCTGAGATAATTGTTGCTGAGATAATTTTATTTCAATATTTCAATATGACTCAAACTAAAGAACAAGGTACAAGGTTCTTCTAGTCTCGGTACACCCACATTTGATATGTATCAGTTATCAAAACATTCTGTAAGCGAGCTAACAAACAATACGCAGACGACAAATCATCACCATGATGTTGCGACGTATGAGTATGGGTTGACGTATGAGTATGAACAGTGTAGGGTTACTTTCACTTCCATGATACTGATAACAACAATATCTTTGTGCTGGAAGTTGAACTGAACTAGATAACTAGACCTCTAGGTTTAGGTGCTCATATCAATCAAAGTAACCTAGGAATGTAGTTGAAAAAGCCGTGGATTCCATCTGCTAACAGACTACATTGATTTGCACTTCCAGCCAAGAAAACGAGTGCAGAAAACAGACTGAAGAAGAAACAGACCGAAGAAATTTGACGTAAAAGCTCCTGACGAATATGCGAGAGACACGAAATTATTAAAATGGAAGAGCTCGAATAGCATCCTAATTGTAGATGCGTCGTAAAACTGAAAGTTAAAGGCTTCTTCAATAGTTCAGCGCTCAAGTAACCATGGAGGTGCCTAGAGAAATATCTGATGACCTGGTCGATAACACAGACTTAATGAGTGTGGCACTGTGGCACTGTGGCACTGTGGCAATTTGGCTGATGTACGATGCACAAGGGTTCAGTGAGACAGCTGAAGTCACACGGAGCTATTAGCTAGATTTAATCAAGATCAACGTAAAATTAGGGAAAAGAACAATCGCAGAAAAATATTCAACCGAGTGTAGAAACAAGAAGCCTCATGGGGCTCTAGCAGCTAAGTGTACCACATAACACTAGATATCAGCTCAAGTGGGTTCAACTAATCTACAATGCTAAATCACGAACACTCGTGGCGAAGCTTCAACACCTAAAAATAGTGTCATTGTGCTAATGGCCAGTAGAGGCAGGAGTCCCGGCTCTACTGGCTCTACACTTTACCTCAAGAGCTCAATACGGTACTAAGGAATAGTAAATTCAACGAATAGAAAATATTTCATGAACGTCGTGTGAAATTAAGACATGTTATGAAAATTGGATGGTTACAATTACATTTGTGGTGATTCTGCAAACTTGTGAAACCGGAGACTGGTCAGTACACGTTCTGCAGCTGTGAAATATTTCATGACTTATACCGTCTACCAGTGAGACAGAATAATCAATCAAAAATATTAAGCAGCTGGTATGAAATGAATCCCATGCAACCCGCCCACACCCACTACAGCGAACAGCAAATAGCAAACAGCCATGCATTAGGAACACGTTAGAGGGCGCCCCATATAATGTAACTATAATATGTTAACGGAAAATAAGAATTAGATACTATTATTGCTTCAAACACAAGGCACGCAAAATATTGAGATGTGTCCAAAATGTAACGGAAATGACTATATTTTTGAAGGAAGCGGCTGGATAAAGACCAGAAATATGTTATAAAAATACACTAAACACAGATATTTCACGGTATCACGTTTTACGACAATCATGCGCTAGTTGGCTTGTTAGCAACACCACACATACCGTTACTATTCATTTAGGATTTGTTATTTGATCTGGTCAAAGTAGATTGGGTATGTTTGAGCCTGGAGGTTAACCTTCTGGCTTTGAATTTGATCACCGACGCTGAAAATGGGAGTTCAAATGTCTTCACATGGTCCTCTGAAGACCTTATCTTTATCATTTGTGGGTTATCGAAAAATGTAGAGGAACTGCACGAAAAACAAAGCAGCTTCGTTCGTTTGACTTCGTCTTGGAGAAGGTTAGTGGAAATCTTATACGAGAAGAAGGTTTTAACTTGAAAGCTCTTCTAGTTGGAGGTATTCTCAACTCATAGTGCACTCATGTTTAACAGTTGACTGGTCACAGAGGCATTGGATTAGAAACATATGTTCAAATGTTTTTTAAACGCCGTATTTTATAACATGTAAATACTAGCCCATAATTTTAACCCTCAAGGAAAAGTAAAACGAAATATTCAGCGTGGAGAGATGTTTGATATTTTCTCGCGTTATCCGTTTCTTTTTCTGTCAACACCACCCGACATTTTAATACTCTCTAATAATCAGATATTAATTACAGTTTACACTGTATTTAATACCATCATAAAACTAAATATTCTGAATATCAGGGATACTTCTTTCATTGAGGAGGGGAAATGTTAGTCTCCGACTCAATGCTTGATTGACATATTTTGCCGAGGTCAGATCCGTTTGTATTTTTGATCAAATTTATTCATTTTATACGTGTGCTTCATTTTTACTCGAATGATGATCTAATAAGTTAACATATGACTTTTTTTTGACGCTTAAAAAATTCTTCCAATTTTGATGAACAAAGCAATCTGATAAGGTGCTATTAGTATTTTTCTCACCTGACGAGGCAAGAGACTTCTGTTTCGTCACTAGGAATGATCTGATGCTAGCCATTCTGATTGGATACATCCAGGGGTTCAGCATGGGTCCCAGGAAGACAAGCACCCGGGCTATCACCTTGTAGTGCTGAAATTTAGTGCAAATTAGAAACGTTTATCTCATTTCGATAACATCGTGAAAAAGCTATCACCTGCATTTTGTTGCAAATTAGAAACATTTCAATAACTTATAATCTGTTTTACAGCGTGAAATATAAAAACAGCCCTGAAGAATGTTTGTCTCATAACTCACACTTGAATAGACTCTGTAACAGTTCTTAGTGTTACAAGTAGCGTGAAGTCTGTCGTCAATCTGATACCAGCGAAGAGGCAGAGTAGACACTAAGATGACAACTGCTTGTATGAAGGAGACTGTGCAGGTCATCCTTACACTTCTAGCTACCCTGTTGATATTCATATTCATAAACAATAAAGAAATGATCGAAAAGGTTATTGTCAAATCGAAACAAGAAAGTAGCCGACCGTGCAATTCCAATTGATGCATTCACAAATTGTAAGTAAGTGAAGGAAATTCCAACAATTGTCAATTAATCAATAAAGTCAAGTTTTGAAAGAATGCAAAATTGTGAAAAAATGAGTTTTGTTAAATGATAATATGTAATAGCAAATTCTAAAAATTGTTTTTTTCACAAATCTGTCTAACTTACAAGTTTTGTTTAGCGGGGTTGTTTTTGTGGAGCTTGTAGCTCTCGCCAAGTTTCCAAATAATGATAGCACTGGTGCCACCGAGAGCTGCCACTGCCAGGAACATTAAAAGAGGACTAGCCACATTCTCCCACATCATGAAGCTCTTGGATCCCGGCCAAGATGTGTCGTTTGATTGCAAAACACAACCTGCAGAAGTATATGCTGTTATATATGACTCAAAACCAATTAAATAGAAGTATCCGTCTTCTAAAGTGTTAATTTGTATTTTCAAAAGAGGAAAAAAACTGGAGAGGACTGAAATTAAAATACAGAGAAAATAAGAATACGGATAAAATTAGAGTACTGATAAACTGAAATTAGAATGCACATGACTCACTCATAAAGATTTTCACGATAACGTCGGTCCCATTGGTATGGGTTTTTCCAGAGCGCGCCACATCGCACACGAAAGCAATATCTGGCTCAGCACCCATACTCTTGTACCAACTCATAACGGATCTGGAGGCGATTATATGAGGAAGGGTTAGCGTTAAAAAAGGAATGGCGGTGCACACTATGAGCGCTATCACTGTCTTGTAGGCCTTGATAGTGTAGGTGTAGGATAGGGGTCTCCAGATGTGGCCAGCTCGGTCCACACAGATAGCAACAACCAGGAGCAGCTGGAGCCAAACCACAAAGTCCAGGATGGGATCTGCGGCTGCTCTGCGATAAAGGGTTTTTTTTGGAAGGTGGCTCTTTTTTTAAATTTTTAAATTTACAAGATCACTTTCACTCCAGAGACTCGGAGCAACAATTCAATTCTTAAGATGCTCGAGCTTATTTGACAAGTTCTTATTTGACAAGTTCTAATTACTAATTACTAATTGCTAATTACTAATTACTTATTGTAGAGACTGTCTCGGAGTCCGGGACTATCTGTAGTGTAGCTAATTGCAGCAGGCACACCCACCAAAACTACTTGGAATATGTCTACAAAAGAGAGGTACACACAGAATATGTTGGACTGGAAGAATGGGTGCTGCAACAGTATCTGAAATATTTCAGGTTTTATATAAAAAGTAAATCTTTAGTTGTTAACTAACATCAGATAGTAATTACGGTGCACACATGTCCACGAACTGACAATGTAAAACATAATGAAAATAACCTTCATATTTCTGATAACAGCGTAGAAGCAGGCGAGGTTGCCCACCAAAGTAATGAACATGACGAGCCAGAGCACACCACCCAGTAGTGTTAGCTCGTGTACAGTCCAGCCCCCACTCTCAAAGTTAGGGGGTGGAGCCAGGGTGGTGTAGAGGAATGTGGAGGAGGTCGTCTCACCAGCTGCTCCTATACTTCCCTTAGTGGTCTGGTGTCCGTGAGATATGTGATCTGTGGAGGGGATACCACCACCTCCGTCAGTCAGTCCTTTTGTTGTGAACATGTTTAGAGAGGATGTGTCGTTCAAACCGTGTATTGTGGACATTTGCATTGTCAGCTAATCTGAGAAGTACAGCAGTGAAGTGAGAGTGTTGGTTCTCAGAGCGGCAGTATCTTCTAGTCTCTATTATAGCAGTGCTGATGAATCATTCACACGTCTCATTCGCTAATCAACCTGTTGCAGAGTTAAGTAGTATTCATTTGTATGATGTGATATCTGGCAACTGGCTATAACAGACAGTTATAAATCCAAAACGATATGCCAAGTACGCCGAATTTCAGCCTAACAATTTACACACTTAAACAATAACTGGGGCAAAGGGAACATTGGAATATTGTGAATGATGTCAGGTAAAGGTCGACAGTGGAAACCAGAAAAGTTTTAATGTTTTAATGTTCTGTCACATTGAAAAATCTAATATTAGAAACGTTATGTCCGAAAACTTGGGTGAAACGTACAGAATGCACACAGAGCTCTATCATATTACTGATGTGATAAAATTAAAGGAATTTGAAGCAAGCAAACAAACGCTGACAAAAATTCTGTGATCTGCAAAGCGGCGTTTATTACTTAGTACTCATGCTATAGTAGCTCATCGACAAATATTAACAGTGGCATTAAAGGTGATGTGTTGATATGAACTTGGTACGAAGCCTTGATAAACTGATAAAACAAGAATCTTAAGGACTCAAATTACAGAGATCGAGATGAGATCTCAACCATTACATATAAATTATCGATATAAAATTATAGACGGAACCCCTTGAAGTGACACTGGCAACCATAGAATTAACATGCCAATCTTCTTCTACAGTTTGGAGATAACGTCGTGTTTATTATTAACTTGCCAGCTACTCTGGTACTTGGGTCAACTTAGTGTTCTAGTGTAGGAACAACACTGTAACAACACTGTAACAACACTGTAACAACATTGTAACAACACTGTAACAACACTGTAACAACATTGCAACAACACTGTAACAACATTGTAACAACACTGTAACAACACTGTAACAACACTGTAACAACACTGTAACAACACTGTAACAACACTGTAACAACACTGTAACAACACTGTAACAACACTGTAACAACACTGTAACAACACTGTAACAACACTGTAACAACACTGTAACAACACTGTAACAACACTGTAACAACACTGTAACAACACTGTAACAACACTGTAACAATTGACCGTGGAAACCGCGGCATAAAAGCTGCAGATCATTAAGGTAATAAGGTATCGGTAATTCGAGGAGCAAATCGATAAACAGTACTAATAACTCCACTGCAGGTGAATATGCTCCTAAAGTCAGGGAGCGGTGACGGCTGAGCGATAATAAGTATATAAATAGAATATAAGAAATGTATGGAGACATTGGTGCAGGTTTGGGTAGGTTAAATTGTGTTGCAATAACTACGAGTATTTTAACGGGCGTCTACTGGGTAAGCTTTGAACAGCGTCAGCAGAAACCTTTAATACGTAAGAAAATGGGTCTAAGTAAAGAATAAGTAGCAGTAATAGCAGTAATAGTAGTAAGGAATAAGTAGACTAAGTTTGAATAAATTATAACCCCCCGGAATTGGTAGTATTTCATTATGGTTGCGTCTTAAAGTGGTTCTACTGACGCAATCAAAATTATAAGGTATATTTATCTGTGTATATTTGAGAGGTATATTTAGGAGCCCTAGTGCAAAGTGGCCTGGTTGAGGTAAACATGTTCTAAATGTTACTTTAAGTGGTGAAGTTTACTAGATTCACGTACTCTAGTTCGACAACTGAACTTCGCTAGAAATCACCCTGTCGAACTTCGGTACGTGTCGAACTAGAGTCCAGGTAGTGTATTCTAGATCGACAGAGTCGAACTTTAGGATTTGTCAAGCTACAGTATACCTGTCGAAAATAGGTAATTGTAAAACTAGAGTACATGTACCAAGATTATGCATCATACAATCAATCTCGGGCTATAATTCTAATAAATTTTCACATTTCTTGTACTTTATCCAATGTGGTATAAACTTCAGGATTATTGTGTTACAATGGAGTCTGAGGTCAGCTGAGCACCAAAATTTAACGATCAATTGTCTCGACTCTCCATCAGCTCCTCTTAAGATTAAATGTACAGAGTTTTAAATCAAAACTAATTGGGATAACAAGCTCACATGTTGAGATGGTATATAAGCCATGAAAGTATAATAATATCTTGTGGTCCGTTCTTCGGCTTCTAAAATTGTTGATATGTCACGAGGGTCACTGGGTAAGGTAAGTACTGATTCACTATATAAGATGATCCTAGCAGACAAGTTACAAATATTCCAGTCATAGAAGATACGGACAGATCAAGAGAAGAGACACTTTTGAATAATCAAATATTTTCTGAAATTCGTTTGTCCAGTCAATCCAAACTTGATATCACAGATGGCTTCAAAAATAGGTCATCAAATAGAATTAGAGACGGGCTAGTTGATCATGGGAACTGTCGAGCACAGACAAATAGCAATTGAAGTTTTAAAATATTGCTACGATCTAATGACAAGCTGGGATTGGTTCGCATTATTCAGATCAGGGAGTGCTAATGTTACGCAATTGCATTCATTATAATTAATCGCAAATTTATGGATTCAGGGGTTCAGAAAATCGCAGACTTGTATATAATGCAGAATATTACAATTATTTGTTACCCTCTGAATTTGTGTATAAGAAATATGTTGCTCAACGAAAAGCATTAACAAAAATGTTCTCAATTTCTGTATATCTAACGAACAGGAATGAAACGTTCTTGTACCGACAATACACAAAAAACGTACAGTAATGAGGTAACATATGATTGAGCACTGTTTTAATTGGGCAGCAAGTGGTTTGTAGTAACCACGTGCCACTTATAATGTGGTTTCTTAACTGTAACAACTAACTAACTAAGGTAATCCTGCTCGGTACTCACCTCTAGACAAAATCTTTGAATTTATACCCGCACTCATTACATGGAATGTTTATAGTCACCATCTCACTAGATTTCAAGATAATTCCTCGATTAGAAATTACTTTTCGAGGTAATTACCACCTGCTCGAACTTTAGAGCATTAGTATCCCGCACAGCTGGAAAAGTTTTTAAATTCCAGTGAATATAGTAAAAAGGTCCTCAGCTTTGATAACAGCTTTTATCACTTAATGTGAGATTAGTCCTTAATGTGAAATTAGGCAAAGTAAAGTGTGATTATGGAACGATTATTATCATTATAAAACAGGATCTTACCGACAAAAATGATTCATAAAAATACCGTAATGCAGTAAACTGTACCCTTGAAACAGATTTTCCCAACATCTGTTGCATGAAGCTATATCTTTGATTTCGTTTAATTCATGCAAGTTATCTATGTGCAAATTTCTACTACTTAAATCACTTCTTAAAACAGATAACAAGTTCATTCTAGGTCTCCCCAATCTGGAACGATAACATCTGAATTTAGCCAAGCATAAAGGACATCGGTGTCTGAATTGTACTGTTAGCTAAATGAACCAGACGAATCTAAGAGGATCGCCATCCAAAAGTTAAAATTTTATCAACTAAGAATATTAATGATCCTGTGCCTTGGTAGACAGTGCTCTCTTGTCGGTGTCCAAAGAGTAATCACTAATTCAGAATTTGGTTGGTTGAGTCGCTAAGCGTTTCCAAGAATTTACTGAGCCTGTTCATCTTAGACCAATAACAGAGAGATTGGATTACTTAATCATTTTAGGAGACTGACAGATAGTTTCCAACCCTTAACTCTAACTTGTACAAGTAGTAGAAATCTATAACATTAACTCTAATTCTAGAAAGCCGGAAGGTCCTATATGAAGTACAGTCGCTTGTTTGGTTGTTTTAATTTTAATAAGTTTGTAATTTCTAAACGTTAAAAATAACATGGCTCAACGTCAATTGTGAAAGTGCAAGATATATTGGATCTTTTTCTTTAAAAATATCAGTTTTGAAGTGTAATCTGACTTTTTAAGAAATATAAGTTTATATAATCAGAATGTTATTCATGCCGATATAGCTAGATTCAACAATTTATTATTACAATACTGCATGGAAATGAAATGAAAATAATCGAAAACTTGTCATTTGATGAACAATATTCAAGAATGATGGAAAAGCGAATAGTTCTTTGCTAAAAAAACTCGTAAAACTAAAACATTGTTCGTGTTTTCCAATTGAGAACACAGATATATTAACATGAACGCAGTATTGTCATTTGGTATTTAATGTTATTGTTATTGGTCTCTAACTAATTGTTTACTAAAAATCAAGGAGCCGGCTGCAACATTTTATACGCATGCTATTGATATGAAATATAATTAAGAACAATGGCCCATACAAGGATATTATCTTAAAACAAAGGATCAAGCGGTTCAGTACTACATTCTATAAAAACAAAAAATAACAAGAATTTACACTGGACAAAGTTTGCATAAAACTTTGGTACAAAAAGTGAAGGAGGGACAGGTAGGAAGGAACAAAAATAATAAATTACTAAAATATAGAGACGGTGTAAGGATATTCCAATGAATAAATTATAATAATACCAAAGAAATGTCAAAGAAACTGGAAAGTACTTCAGGATATAGTCATGAGTCCTCAAGTTATCAATAACAAGAAAGTGTAGACACGTGACGTCACCACAACACCACGTGACGTCACCACAACACCACGTGACGTCACCACAACACCACGTGACGTCATCACAACACCACAAGAAAGCGGACTGGACTTCTACTCCAGACAAATTATATAATTCGATGATGGAGGAAGACTGGAAGTTCAAAGGTACAGTCAATTGAGCAAAATTCATTTTAAAGTTGATTCAATAACAAGCAATTCATGCTCCTGTTATGCCAAAATATTTCAAGCACGCAAAGTATGCAAAGTATGCTTGTAGTATTATTAACGTCAAAATTATAATAAAAATCACCTGTTTGAGTGGGCTGAAGACAAAAATCAAAATATCTACAGTCAGTAGACTGTATTCGATGTGCTATTAATTTCTACGAATAACTATGTCAATCATGCTAATGAGAGTTCTGTTAGTAACAGTGTTAGTAAAAGTGTTAGTAACAGTGTTAGTAACAGTGTTAGTAACAGTGTTAGTCACAGTGTTAGTAACAGTGTTACTCAACAATATCATACCCC